CCACTCTGTGTACATCATTTTTGTCGCCGACTTGTTTTCTGTGTTATTTGGTTTGAGTGATCTATCAACAACTGTTTACAGTATATTTGACAGGTGTATGTCAGACCTGACGAAGAGCATTGCTCCCAACATCGTTAAATAAGTTTTTCTTCCCTTAACGTGAGCGTAAGAAAAAACAAACGAACCCATCTTCTCCAGTATGACGCATTATTTACGATTCTCGTTTGTAGTACCCAGGTGGGTTGACGGTAAGTTTACCGACTTACGACACATAATTTCCCGCGGTGGACAGAGCGCAGATAGCCCATTGTGTAGTTTTGTGCTAAAAAAATAATTAGTTTGTTTAGATTTTTTAGTTTACAAAACAAAATATTTTATTACTTATAATCGTAATTTGTAAGGGATATTTCGTAGAATAATTACAGGTGTCTAAATTTATATGTTGGTGCTTTTTTATTAGGGTTTTCTTTCTCATATATCGGTATCAGTTAAGTTTATCTGCTAATGTGTTGGTCCTGTTTCTTAGCCATTCATATAAAACACATTTTTTACATTTGATTTTACATTTGTTTGTTTGAATTTATGCACAAAGCTACACAATGGTCTATCTTTGCTCAGCCCACCACGGGTATCGACAACCGGTTTCTAGTGTTGTAAGTCCGCAGACATGTTGCTGTGCCACTGGGGGGCGTTTTACATTTGAAAGCTATGCCCTTATTTACTATATTGGTAATGGTAGGATACGCTTACTTACACAACTTTGAATATATATATATACGAATGTGGGGACAGACAAATATTTCGAAAAAATTCCACCACTGATGCCGAAATGTGCCTAATTCTTCTTATTGTTATTCAAATTTTCCATCCTGTTTCTATGATATTATTATTATTGTGAAAATTTTGATATTTTTTCAAATGATTATTAAGCTTTAATTAAGGGTGTTAACAATAATATAGGTCTTCGGAATGAATTACAAATGTTATCGGCGAATGTCTGTAATATAACATTATATAAGTACTACTGTTTATGTAATATATTATGTATTGAGAATTTGAAATAATCCAAGGCTGCGTTAAATAATTTAACTTTTAATAGTTGAACTGTACCCTGGATTTAGTGTTTAGAAATATGCCGATATTTTATTTTATTTACGCTATTTGCCAACATGATTGATTCACACCATTTTTGTTTTGAAACAAATACATTTTGATATATATATATATATATATATATATATACACACACACTATACAATAGTATTAATTAA